CACGTGCATTGAACACCATTCACCACCTGACACCGTTATGTTCAAGTCGACTTACTAGGGATTCTACGATTGACCATCCATCACATTTGCCGAAGATGAGGAGTGGGTACAGTTTACTAACAAATGAACAAGCGGCGGTAGTCCAGCTCAAACGCTTCGGGAGATCTTATTGCTTAAGTTCAACCTCGTCCAAGTAGGGCCTTCTCGGATTTTTGGTGGAACACGGGAGGAGTTAAGCTCTGGAAACCCCTCCGTGTAGATGTCGCAGTCAACGCGAAAGTCAACTATCCACAGCTCGAATGCAACGCTTTTAATACGAAAGAAAAACAAGGCAAAGTTTGCTTTTGTATGACACCGTTGAAAAACCTCTTGCTAAGAAAATTCAGGAAAATTTCGAGACTCTGGGACGGAGAGTTCTTCCGTATTCACGTTATAGCCCTGACCTCGAGGCAAATAATGCCCTTCTGCTCCCCTCTCCAAACCATCTCCTAGAGAAGAAAGCTCATCCTAACTATGATGATGTCAAAATCGACATCTGATCTTTCTTCGATCAGAATTCAGTAGAGTCCTACAAGGGAGGCATCGAGCAGCTACTAGTGTGTTGGCAATAGGTTGTAGATATTGATGGTATTGTAGATATTGATGGAGGGTAGCATGCCGGATGAATGGAACAAAAAGATAATGAAAATATTAAATTCAAAATTCGGCCAGTTTGTTGCAAGACTTATGGACCGACCTAATATAAATAACCAGTTTAGCTCCGCACGCAACCGCGCGCATCACATGGTAGGCTTTAGTGAAACTGGACAACTTGCAGAATATTAGGTCACGTGGCTGAGAAACTAACAGTAAGATGTTTGGAAGATGTGTCACATGAATTCAAAGGTGTCCAATTTTGCTGAAGATTGTCGCGTAATGCGCGCAGTAGCATGCGGAATGAAAATGGTACTTATCATGACTTCGTAAACATTTAGCATTGATATCGAGCTCGGGCGATTTAGCGGTTTATAGAATTTCCACAATTGAAGAATCGGTGTGTAAGTGAAATATAACCAATCAATCAGCATCTAACCGAGCTATGATGGAAATTGGAAATATATGGAAATTCGCTATTGGTCCAAGTTGAGCAGCTCAACTTTCTTTGCTTCTTTAGATGAAAGGGTAGGAATGGAACATATTCACGTGCTAGGGACCTGGTTTAGTTCAATTGAGTGCACGCTCAACTGTCGCTACTTTTATCAGTACAGTTGCCGCTCATACCACTTTCTGTCACCTACATTCAACCCTCGCCACCTTGATCGCTTGCCAGTGATAATTGCAACGAAGTTGGAGAGACCTGCATTCAAACGCTCTTATCATTCCTTGTCATTTGTTATCAGTTCATACTGTTCGCAATCGGTGTCCCGGTCCCAACCTCCACGCAACGTGTAGGCTAATATTTACTGTCAACCACGAACGGCTGCAACGAAATTGGTGACATCAACATTTCGACGTCCGTTATCAGCTCCTATCAGTAGTTATCACTTCCCGCCACCCGTCATCAGTGTTCACCTCCGGCCCCCTATATCCTAGAAGTTTGAGCGCTCTGGGTCCAAAGGGGGTGAAGTTATGAATTTCCGGTCAGACACACACACACACCGCTTAGCCGATTATATATAGTTGTAGTTGTAATGATTGCTAGTGCCTGGCCAATGTGAACAAATAAAAAATATACAAATAAAAAATGATATACAAACCTCTAGAAACCTGACGTCTTCACACAACGCCTCAACAGTGGTGCCTTTGACGGAGAGATCGAATTCAATGCTGACTTGTTGCGGTTGCAGCACGGCGAGTAGGTTTATGATGCTCCTTGGACTCAGGTGACACCTATGGAAACACACTCGGTACACCGTCGATTTCAGAGCAGCGATGCGTTCGGCTAACCGAACGGCAACGTCATCAGGCATAGTCACCTGAAACAAAATCTCAGCAAACTGTTAAATGAGGTCTAAATGATCTTTAAGGCTGTGAGCATGAATATTGTCCCGTTCCCGCGGAACATGTTGAACAGATCGCAGTGGGTATTGCGATGCAGGACCTGTTGGCACTTCGCCTTAAAGATGGCTCTCAATGGTGATATCGCCAAAGCGACTTCCGGAAGAGGCTTTGGGGACTTAACAAATTTCGCTGTTCTACCACAATCGCTGATGTGATAGAACAGCGTCCATCACGCGAGCGGTCCGGGGATCAAATCCTGGGTCGTGAGTCGCCCGGGCCAACCAAGCCTTCCATCCCTCCGGGGTCGGTTAATTGGTACCAGACTTGTCTGGGAGGATAAAAAAACACTGACTTGTACATCGGCTGGCCCCCGCAAGTCATTGTATAGGCCACATCGCATTCAAACGCCACTACGAATGTACAAATGGAAGTAGAATGCGTGCCGCATCCCAAAAAGGGATTGATCAACGGCAAATGCTTTATCCTTACCAGTTTGGCTGCGCACGCATTCGCGTGCATGAGACGGGGCTCAGCGGTAAAATCGGGCCCATCAGTATTTTTGTCTTGATTTTAGCTTTCTGCTCGGTACATCTTACTTACGCCGCAAACTCCGCCCACATCCGGGTGTGCCACGCCCAGCGTTCACATTCAACCTCTACTCCTACTTTCACCTCTGGCGTATTTTTTTCAGGTCTCTAAGTCATCTCGGAGCCGAATTATGAGGTCTTGTAAATGGCGTTATGAGTCACGAATTTCTGAGGCAGACCCCGCCCACTTTGGTGCATGGTTAGCCCAACAATGGCATTCAACCCTACTCCATACCTCAATACTTATGCACATTTTCCCCGGTCGCCGGAACTTCTAGGAACCGAGTTATGAGAGCGGTGGCAAACTCCGCCCACATCCGGGTGTGCCACGCCCAGCGTTCACATTCAACCTCTACTCCTACTTTCACCTCTGGCGTATTTTTTTTCAGGTCTCTAAGTCATCTCGGAGCCGAATTATGAGGTCTTGTAAATGGCGTTATGAGTCACGAATTTCTGAGGCAGACCCCGCCCACTTTGGTGCATGCTTAGCCCAACAATGGCATTCAACCCTACTCCATACCTCAATACTTATGCACATTTTCCCCGGTCGCCGGAACTTCTAGGAACCGAGTTATGAGGGCGGTGGCAAACTCCGCCCACATCCGGGTGTGCCACGCCCAGCGTTCACATTCAACCTCTACTCCTACTTTCACCTCTGGCGTATTTTTTTCAGGTCTCTAAGTCATCTCGGAGCCGAATTATGAGGTCTTGTAAATGGCGTTATGAGTCACGAATTTCTGAGGCAGACCCCGCCCACTTTGGTGCATGGTTAGCCCAACAATGGCATTCAACCCTACTCCATACCTCAATACTTATGCACATTTTCCCCGGTCGCCGGAACTTCTAGGAACCGAGTTATGAGAGCGGTGGCAAACTCCGCCCACATCCGGGTGTGCCACGCCCAGCGTTCACATTCAACCTCTACTCCTACTTTCACCTCTGGCGTATTTTTTTTTCAGGTCTCTAAGTCATCTCGGAGCCGAATTATGAGGTCTTGTAGGGGACGAAATCGAGCTACGTATCTTTGTGGCAAACCCCGCCCACTTTGGTGCGTGGGTCGCCCACTGATATCAGTCGGCTATCATCTCTTCCCCAACCTTTTTCTACTTTTCTCCCATCTCTGGAACTTATTGGAACCGAGTTATGAAGTACCGTGGCAAACCCCGCCCACTTTGGTGCATGCTCCGCCCGCCAACAACGGTTGACCCCTTTCCCTTCCCTATCGCTTTTTTCCCGAACTTTCCGGGACTAGGAAACGGTTATTAGCCTTAATTTGCACCTCCGCCCACTTTGATGTAAGCCACGCCCATCCCTGATATTTAGCTTCCCCTCCCCTCCTGACCTCTATCCGTTGTTTTCCGGTCTCTAAGTCATCTCGGAGCCGATTTATGAGCTCTTGTAGAAAATGCTGTCCGCTTCACGACACGCTCCGCCCATTGTGGGCGGGCCTCCGTTCACATCATGCGTGGTGGAAATACCTTAGGCATTGCTCCCCTGCACTAATTTCGTTTCTGGTCTGTAGGCTTCCTCTTAACCGAGTTATGAATATTTTCACTGAGCACCCATTTTCTAGAGAACGCCCCGCCCACCGAGGGTGGGTCTCCTCAGTTCGATCTGGCTTACCAACCCACACCTATGCCCACTTTTGTCCCGGTCTCGAGGCTGTTTTGTGACTGAATTTGAAATCAACCGATGCACGCCACGCCCACTGTGGGCGGGGCTCCGCTTGGCTGATGTGTGTTTTTTACTTCTAGGGATATGGTATACCCATCCCAAACTTGACCTGGACCCTGTAGGTTGTTGTTCGCTTGATACCGAATTTCGTGACAGACGGACAGACAGACATAGCGCATTATATATAGTAGGGATATTTTACAAATTCGTATAGCATACATTATACGAAGTTATAGACCGTTACTATACTGAATAAGGCAAGGGCAGGTGGGCGTCGACCAGAAGGCCATGTAGGCGATTGCTCGGAACACAGCTTCACTGTTACCACTTCTTCAATAAGTTCTGTCTTACCTCGAAGCGTATGGTGTCGATGTTGGCACAAACAAGTTGGCGTAACACGGTACTGTCGAAGTGCGGTCCGCAGACAGCGTACTTATAGTCCTCCCACCTGCTTCTTCTCAGAAACCGTTCAACTATGAGTTCGTTCTGGAAAATTTCTTTTTCAGCCTTTTGGAACAATTGTTCCGAACAGTCACAAGATTTCAGTAGGAAGAGGAGAGAGGATAGAGTAGAAGCTCAGCCATTACCTCTCTAAACACGGCCAGATATATTGTCTGCTTTGCCAGGGCGCTCCGATGCTTTTCAATGATCGCATTCAGGTAGCGAGAGACCAGCTTCAAACGGCCCAGCGACTGCTCATCGAACTAAAAGTGGTTCACGTAATGGCTGACATCGACATTGAAAGTTAAAGTTTGAAAGTGGAGTGGACTCAACAGCTGGCACACCCAGTTTATGTAAGCAATGGCTTCCCGAATAACTTGGAAGCTCTATCGAGGAGTAAACTATTTCTGGAGGCCATCCGAGCCAAGACTGACAATAATCTCTCCACAGTTTCAAGAACCCTTCAGAAGATGGACCAGTTGCTCTCGATACTGTACTGTGGAAAGCAACAGGACCGTCTCTTCACCATGCGAACACGAGCGTATGAGGCATTTGCTAAAGTAGAGGCTACTAAAAACCATTACGCGACTCATCTCGAATTTAGCATCCCCCATACAACTCCTAACCTAATGTCCGTCATGAAAAGGACCATAGTGTTTCCTCGAATTTCATCCATATTTGTTTGCTATTTTCATTTTTTTACTTATTTGCTATGATAAGATGGTTGAACGGTGCAAAGAGCTATACCGTCGAGCGGAATGACTCACAGTGGTATTGCTCAATCTTTGGGGTTACCCGATGTCTGCACGGTGATTTGACGAAACCGCTTGCCTAATCGATGAGAAGTTGTGAATCGGAATCGGATCTCTTTAACATCTTTATGAACAGCCGCATTGAAAAGATCACATTTATTGGCGGCATTCATCACAGAAACTGAATATTTTTTCTTGCCGTTATCTCACACTTCTTTGAGGCAAGGACGAAATTATGGAGGGGCTTATCAAGCTCTTTAAAGTCGGGCCCCGCTTTTCCAGAACGTTTTTTGCATTATTTAGGGATTCGTGCATAGAACATGGAACTATGATTGATTCTTCCTTCTGCTTTTTCTCCTGCTAAATAAATAGGGGATGCTTTGGTTGTGACTGGCATGGTGTCGTAGAATGGTACCGTTGGCTAGTAGTGGGTGCTTACTACTATAAGGACCACCAATAACCCATACAAGTAGGTTTTTGCTAAAACTTGTGTCAATTAAAGGAATCCTTCGCGGAAAATTCTTGCATTCTTTCTTAACATGAATGTGTCAGTTGTGATCACTGGAAACAGCACACAAAGTTTCACGCATGAAGATTCGGTTTCCGAAGAGAAACAAACTTACAAAAACTACACTCTATGGACAATCGAAGGTAATTCGGGCGGAGCCAAAGGCGGGCATGGAAAGAAGTCCGCCTTGGGGCGGCTACGTATCAGGCGACGCAATGAAAGAATCGGGTTAAAGCGAGAGATTACGATGCAGCGTGGAAGTACATGCACCAGTGGAAGCAGTAGTCAGGGGCCCAAGGAAGCGAAATGTTGCGTTTTTGTGGCCAAAGGTGCGCTAGTTGCAGCGTACTGGGCTTGCCATTCCTTTCTGAGCTCCGCCACGGCCTGTGCTCCGCCCCCAGCAGCAGCGTCCTTCGATTATCATTTTGATGAGGTATTCCGCTTGAGTGCGTATCCTATAACTTTCCCATGGAACGCGTTACCAATCAAAGCATGGCCTTTGCTGGTATGATGGTGGCTATCGGTTTAACATGTGCAAAAGACCTCTTAATTGGTTGCTAGCTCGTCCATTATCGGAGGTCAACGGGCAAAGAAAGGGGTCCCATTTTGCGCCTTCTTGACGGATTTCTTTGCTTTTTTCGCCACTGGGGCATTATTCAGCATCCCCACTTCCACTATGAACCCAGTCCAATCTATCGTAATCCCTCGCTTCAAAGCGTGTGATTTTGGGGAGTAGAGACAAATCGATCGGTAGAATAGGATGGAGTGAAAGTGTAAGATGTGAATGCAATAATTTAAAGGCCAGAAAGAGTTTCTAGTGAAGGCACCCTATAGGGTTTTGAAGGAAGTGAGTTGATCATCGTGTTTCACTGAAACGCTACTAACCAGGAAGATCTTTTTGTTCATCCACACTTCAAGAAATGGTTTCCTGCATAATGTAGGGGCACAAGCATGTTACTCAAATATATGGT